TTTCGCTCAGCAGCAGCCGTACCCAGGCGCAGAGCTGTGGCCCTGCACCCATGGTCTCCATTGCTGCCAGGAGGAACCCACGATCCACCGTGTCATAGGCCTTGGCGAAGTCCAGGAATGCCAGGAGCCCCCGGCGGTTCTGCTTGCGAAGGAGGTGTGACAGGTGACGCAGGAATAGCACACTAGCTCCAATGAGGCGCCTAGGTATGTATGTATGTATGTATGTATGTTGTTACAGGGTGGTTAACTTCGCCAGCGGCCCCCTTTCCCGGGGCAGTCCCTGCTCTCCCCTGCTAGAGGGGCACCCTAATCCGTCACCCCATCCGACTTCAGAATGTATTCGTTGGGTTCGGCAACTCACCACCAGCATCCAACCAAATCTAGCGGATCAACGGCGCATCAACTTAGTTCCTGGTCAGCTCGCAAGTTGATATTATCACGTCCTACACCGTCCATAAGATGGGGGGCCACCTCCCATTTCATCACTCCTCAAACACCCGAGGAGCCGGCAGGCGGATTTGAACCCGGGTCGACTTGGTCGACTGGGAGCAGAAGTCAGGCCTTAACCTCTGCCAGCCGCCTGCCATATGTATGTATGTATGTATGTATGTATGTATGTATGTATGTATGTATGTATGTATGTATGTATGTATGTATGTACGTATTGGATATTGTGATATTGCATGGAACGGCGGCGACTGGGGACCGGACATCGTTCAATAACGGCAACAATGCCTGAATTGGCAACAAACGCGACCGGGATGTCTGCATGTGGTTGTGGCTGTCCCGCGTGTGTGTATGCGGGGGGTTTTGCGGTTTACCCCTCCCGCACGCGCAGGCCCCCGGGCTCCACCCCCCTGCATCTGGCGGCACGGCGCGGTGACGTGGCGCTCTGCAAAATGATTATGAGCCATTACGTAAGTTGTGTACGACGTGTACGATGTGACTTGGTGTGATTTGCCGTGTGGTTGTTTAGGTGTTCCCTTTCTCCTCCGCTCCCGGCCTTTCCCCCGGCCCTTCCGGACCTCAGTGGAACCGACCGCCTGCTTGTTTTGAAGAACTGCATTTTGAATTTTGAAGGAGTGCAGCCGTCTTATACTTCTTGGGCTCTATCACCTCCTGTCTTGCGCTGTCCATTCCTTGACCCGCCGCATCCGGATGCTGCTGTGGACCCCCCACTCTCCCCCCACCCCTCCCCACCTCCCCACCCCCCCTCCTCCCCCACCCCTCCCAATCCCTTCCACCAACCCCTCCCCACACCAGTTGGAGGTCCTACGGGACAGCGGCGCCCCTGATCCCCGGTTGCATGCGGACGTACGAGGTGTACGACCTTACCAGAGGGCGGCGGAACGGGGCAGTCGGGGGCTGGCGGAGGTGCGCGTGTGTGTACGTGTATGTATGTGTGTATTTCTATGCGTGAAACAAACATGTGTGTACGGAAGGTAAGGGTGTTTGGCACGGTGTTTTTTTGCACGCATGGTGGAGCGAAGCGGGCTCCGGAGCCGTGTCCTTGCCGAGCTGTTGTTCGTTGGGGATGGGGGGATGTACGGCGTGTGCCCCTGCGGGTGCTGGGGGTATGGCATTGCAATCTTGGCCTCCCGGAGAGCACACGTATGCTCGGTGGTGGTTATGGTCGTTGGTGGGAGGGTGGGGGATACTGGCGGACTGTAGTACTGTAACTTTGGCGGTCACACGACGGTAATGGTCCAGGGCCTCAATGTACGGGGTACGACACCAGGAACACATAGGGATGTCTCCGTCTGGACGTCAGAAACCTGCGAGTGTGTGTTTTTTTTCCACTGAAGCAACTGTAAACTACAACTCTGGAGAAATTACTGTATTAAAACATATTTCTATCCGTATTGTGGACCGTCCCGCAGATGCTCATGCCGTCGACACCTTTGTCGTACATCCTAGGTACGGACGTCGTACGGCTTTATAAGGTACCGAAGCTCAAGGCGATCGCGTCTGCGGCGCTGCAAGCGGGGCTGCTGTCCCAGATTAACGAACTGGAGGTGGTGGCGGCTGAACGGCGGCGTCTTGCAGCGGCGGCGGCGGTAGCGGCGGCGCGCGCAGCGGTGATTGCCGCCGCTACCGCCGCTTGCAGCAGCGGCGGCGGCGGCGGCGGCGGGGCATCCGCTACCGCAAGCGGCGGTGGCGGCGACGGCAACGCCAACCCCGCGGCCGCCGGATGCGGCGCCGCAAGCGTCACCATCGCCGTCGGCGGCGACACAGGGTCCTTGTCCCGAGCGTCTTCCTTCGTCAACGGCGCGATTCAATTTGTACGGCGACAGTCCTTGCGCCCTTTGGACAGCTTCCGACGGCGCCTGCGTGCATCCGGAAGGGGGGCTCAGGCCCAGGATGGCTCACAGCATGATAGGGCCACATCACGGCGTACGAGCACCGTCGGCGGCGCCTCGGAGACGGCAGCTGGCGGCCTGATTAGCCTCAGCTGCTATGACGGGGCCGCCATCGGTGGCGGCGGCGGCGGCGGCAACAGAGTCGGAAGTGGCGTCTACAGCCAATTTTCTCACACACCGCCGCTGCATGGCGGCATGCCGCCAGCTGGCGTACAGAGACCGATATCGTGTACGACAATGGCGTCGGCGTCGGCAGCAACGATGCCTGGGATAGCGATTGAGCACGGTTTTAGTGCCGAGACCGCCGCGATCGCTGCCGGTGGCACGGCTATTACGGCTGCAGTGACGGCGGCGGCGGCGGACGCCGCAAGTCACGGCCTGGCGGGCAGCGCCGCTGGCGCTGGTGCTGACGCAGCCGCTGGGCTGACGCCATCGTTGGCAGTGGTGGCAGTAGCAAAGACGGCGGCGGCGGCGGCGGCGGCGGCCCTATCCGGGGACATCTCTCCTGTAAGAGGCAACTCTTTCGATTCGGACACCCATTTTCCGTACCTGCCTTCTCCGCCGTACCACCTTGTGCTGGCCACCGACGGCGGCCGCAGCGGCGTCACAGAGATACGACCCGCTGGCGCCGCCGCCGCCGCCGCCGCAGCGGCGGGCTGCGGCGACGTCCATGCCGACCCAGCGAACACTAACGCCAGGGCTAGTGCGCTAGTTGGTGGCGCCGATGGCCCGACCACCGTCGGCGGTATTGCCGGCGGCAGTCCCGCGAACGAAACCAAAACAGCCTTTGCCCCTTTTCGGACGTCGTACTGTCCCGTATCCCTGCCAGTTTCGCTGCCGCCGCCGCCGCTGCAGCATCCGTACCCGTCGCCGTTCGCCGTGGCGGCGCTTCAGGCGACGCCGCTAGACCGGTGCTCTGGCGCATCTCCCGGCGGCGGAAGCCCGCGATACAGCAGCGTCAGCGGCGTTGATGTCGACATCTGCCGCAGCCTGAGCGGCTGGTCGCCGCCGCTGCCCGTGCTACTGCCCCCGCCGGGAGCCTCTCTGGGGCTACAGCCGATCCAGGAGGGACACCCGACGGGGCTGGCTGCCGCCGCTGGCGGCGGTGGAGGTTGCGACGGCTGCTTGGCAGGAAGGTTGAGTAGACGCGCGAGCAAGTACGTGCTGACACAGCCGCCGCCGCAGCCGTCGCCGCTACCGCACCCCGGCCCTGATGACGATGTCGGCGGGCGATCCCCACCTGCCCTCCCTTCCCGCGGGAGCAGCTGTTGGCAAATTTCGGGGGATTCTGTACGGCGGTGGGGCCTGCACGGCGGCTCCCCGGCCGCGGCTACTGCCGGCATGGGTGGGGACGATCGCGTCATCGCGAGAGAGTACTACATGACGGGAAGGGCTGTAGCAGGCGGCGGTGGCGGTGGCGGAAGCGATCCAGCGGGTGGCAGTCCTCCGTTGGGAGTCTTTCAGCTGCCGGTCGGGTTGGGATGGGAGGCGTACGGCAGCGGCGGGGTCGCTGGCGGAGGCGGCAGCTACGGCCAGGTCATCGGTCTGGGTGTTGCAGCTACTGCCGCCAGCCGGGCCGGCAGCGGAAGGCTGCGGGTGTCAGGTGCGTTGGCGCTGACGGCAGGCGACGAGACCGCCGCCGCTGCCGGCGGCGGCGGCGTCGGGGGGGCTGCTACTGCCGGAAAGCTGATTGGCTCTGATACATCCGAAGACTACTGCGGTGTGTGCTTCGAGCGGCCAGCTTTCCTACACATCAAGCCCTGCAAGCACGCGCTTTGTGGTGGGTCATCTCGGTGTGCAGTACGGTGCCGTACAAATTCTCCAATCCGGCCGTAATTTAACCAACCGTGACGTCGATCACCACAGTTACCGTACGCAGCTATACATGGCGTGGCCTAGTCCTTGAAATTGCCGTACACGGTGTACGACTTCATCATGCCGTACAATGATTCACCCTAACACTTGGTCTAATCTTCATGTCTGATAGATTTAGAACACCCCGCGCCATGTTGCTGATATGCTGAGCAATCGCCATACTTAACTCGCGCCGTACTTAAACTCTCAGCTCTCACAATGCCGTACCCGTGCCGTACTGTTCTCGCAGCCGAGTGCTCCAGGGAGGTGACCCGCATGGTGGTGACGCAGCCGCCCTCGTGTCCCTTCTGCCGGGGTGTCGTACACGGCTTCGGGCTCTAAGATATGACGTGCCGGCATGCGGTCAACAGGCGCTCGTGGTTGTAGCTGCTGATGGGCTACTGCTACTGCCCCTGCTACTGCGCCTACTTGCTGATACTACTTTTACTGCTGCTACTGCTTCCAGGACGGCTGCAGGCGTGGTGGTAGTCGCACGATGCTGCTCCAGCGGATGAGCGAGTGGGGCGCGATGCGGGGTTTTCCGGGCCCCCTCAGCTCGCGTCCCTCACCTCAACTCACTTGGTCTCACCTTGCTCATTTCCATCACTTCCTCCTCCCTGACCGCACAGCGTGGGTTGATGGCGGGAAGAGCCGCCCCGCTCGATGTATGCGATTTGTCCCGCCCCGCCCCGCTCGTGCCGTGTCGTGTCGTGCCGTAGCGCATGCGGCAACGCGCTGTGGCTGGCTGCGCGGGTATGTATGTATTATATACGTATGTACGTATGTATGTGTGTGTTTTGCGTCCCTTGACAAAGCTACCTTTATCACACTGCGGCGCGGGCAGCTGACTGCAAGTTGCCCGCCATGCAGCTCCCCCCCCCTTTCGGCCAAGGAGGAGGAGGAGACCCCTAGGGGGCCGCGCTCTCGTTGCGGAGGGAGAGCCAGCAGTAGTGGCGGCAGCAGTAGCTGCTGCGGCTGCTGTGGACTCTTGCCTCCCCCAGCGGCGCGCGGTTTCATGTGTACACTTGCGGGTACAGAGTACTGTTGCTCCGAAACACTGAGGAGGGCAGTAGACGGGAATATCGGGAATCGTTGTGTTTCCCAACTCGCTGTTTTTTGTCTGGTGGTGACCACATGCACGTGGTCCGCTTCCCCGCCTTCATATAATATGCACACACGCAAACACACACGCAAACACACACGCAAACACACACGCAAACACACACACACATATGTATGCACGAGTGAAGGAGCGAACAAAAGAAAGGCAATGTGAAATGAACGCACCCATGCGCAGCGCCAGGCAGCAGCAGATAGACATCAGCACATTCCTTGACGTGTTGTATTCCTAGCTTTGCTTTTTGATGATGATGGAGGAGAATGCGATGTGTTGCCGTACCGCTAACAGGCAGAAATACGTTCACGAGCGCGCGGGCGAGTACCGCCTGCATGCACATACATGCATACATGCACATACATACAAACACACACACACAAACACATACACACGGGGCTCCCTTACCCCTGGCGTGTGCGTGAAGAGATTGGATGAATAAAGGGACAAATCGATGATGGGCTTCTGATCACTTCCCGGACTTGTTTGCATTTGGCCACCGATTTGTGAACTCGTGGGTCGAAAGCACCCTACCTACGCGAAATTCAAATTCATTCCATTTTTATGGTTGGTGGCCCCAAATGGTGCCTGTCATGCACCTTGACGCTGCTTCCTGTCTTCCTGTTTGGGAACGCGAACCGCATACGTTTCCGAGCACGCTGTGTGCATCATGAGGGGGGGGGGCGAATGAACAAAAGGGGCCTAAAAAGGCCTCGATGAGGGGAAATCGGCGAGGGGATCGGTTGGGGATTGGTTGGGTGGAATGTTTTTATGGGGTCGGACGTCTTGGTTGGGTGGGGGTCGTTCACCCCGGGGTCCCCTGTAAGCTGTGTTTCCTTGTGTGCTAGTTTGGGGTCAGAAGCGGATGAGGGACACATTCGCGCACGTGTGCACTCACTGTACTGTACAAGACGCAGGGCTACGGGATAATCGTTTTTTTTTCCGTGTACAGCTGTGTACAGCAGCGATGGTCCTTTGAATGCACGTGTGGCCTTTTACTGCCCCACCCACCCACCCCGCGAACTTGTCTGTGCTATTGTACACGGGAAATGTAAGACCCACGGGTGGGGTAGGTATGGGGGGGGGGCCGCCAGAGGGGGTTCTGCTCCTTTCGGATGCCTCAGCGGCTCCCTGGGTGGATGTGTATATGATGGGTAGGTGTATAGCCCGCGGCATGAGCGAGGGGACATGCGCCAGTCGCGGGCAGGTGAAGTACTGGGGGGCCTCACCCAGCACCGTGCCATTCATGTACTGTTTCTTGTTGGGGAGTGGCGTGGCCTTAGTAGAGCGCCCTTCGTAGTAGTGCAAAGCTGCATGTTGCGACGGTCAGTTTGCCGCGCTGCAAGGTGATATGTCTCTGGGGGGGCCCTAGCAATGAGTTTTGGTAGCGGCTGCAGCGGCGCTGCAGACGCGCGCTTGGTCCGCGATGCGGATAATAGCGACTCATTTGACAAGTCATCCGTCATCGAAAGGGTGGAAGCGGAGGGGCATTTTTATTTAGCTGAGAGCCGCGAGAGCGCTTTTGGAGATGGAGCATGGAGCTCCCCACGACCCGGTTCAGTGGCCCTAAAGAGACAGCAGGACATCATGTTGCTTTGCTGTTATTGTTGTGATTGTCTTTTCCCCAGTAGCGGCGTTGTGTGCTTTTTTGCGTGTGGAGCAGGAAGAATTAGTTTGTTACTTGTGCATGCACCTTTCACAGCGCGGCATTCGTTTCATCAAGTGCAGCGTCGTGTTGTTGTTGCTATTGTTGTTGTTGTTGTTGTTGGACGGAAGGTCTGTCAAGAGGGCAGCGGTGCATCTTGAGCTCCTGGTTCGTCGTGTAAATGACCTGGCCGGCTGCTTGGGAAGATGACAAAAGGTCGTAAGGTTGTGGCTCAAGCGGGTGGGGCCCCCCTCCCCGGGAGACTGCGCTACTTCGATCGCGAGGTGCGAGGCGTTGTACGATATGGCCGTAGCGGCCGGCAAGACCTCTTACTCGTGATGTTGCATGTTGGGTAGTGGCCTTGGGAATGCTTGCTCCGCAACATGCTCACTTTTTTGTCCATGTGTTTTTACATATTCTAGCCTTCCCGGGATGCATCTATTACGGCACCTGCTGCCGTACACAGCCGGCAAGTTTACGATTATTACTATTATCGCTAGTGCTCGTCCTCATTCAGTCCAGGACACGTCGCGGTTAGCTCGTCCAGGCTGCCGTACTGGCAGCCGCAGAAGTAGCAGTATTGGTGCTGTTCTCGAAGGTGCAATAGCAGCACGGTCAGTTGCTCCGAGAGAGGCGGCGCCGCGGCAGCGGCGTCAGTGGCATCAGCGGCAGCGGTAACAGCAGTGGCAGCCGTAGCAGCAGCAGCAGTAGCAGTAGCACTGGCCACGCCCTCGTGCATATGTCGTCCCCCTTCATCAACCCCACCATCACCTTCACTGCCATCCTCCTCCTTACCTCCCCAACCACCACTTCCCCCCCCGCTCTTCAGCGCCTGCATGCCCTGGAAAACCCCCACCCCGCCACAGCACCCCACAGCCTCAGCCACCTCAGTATCATCAACGGGGATTTTCCGCACTGCGCTGGAGCCCGGGCTGCATCGTGACGCTGCAAAGGTCGCTGCGCTTGGCCCTACCCTTACTAGCTGCCTTTCACTCCCTTCCTCCCCTCCGCCCGCCTCCCCGCCACCCCCCGCTGCCGATTCTAGCGCTACCGCGGCGCTGCCGCCCTGGATTTCCTGCTCCTGACCTTGTCCTCGGAAATCGGCCACGCGGCCCGCACGGCCCGTGTCCTCCGCCCTCATCCTTCCGGACATCAGCTCGTCGTCGTCGTCATCATTCTGCCTCAACACAGCTGATCGTCCTGGAAGAGACCGATGGGACGGTGCCTCCGCTGCTGCTAGCCCTGCCGTACCCGCTGTGTCTTTCCCCGCCTCGTCAGCCATCATTGCCGCCAGCGCTGGGAGCTTAGATAGTAAGGCCCGCAACGTCTCGCTCCTACCCTGAGGCCCAGGCGGGGAGAGAGGTGCGCCAGCCTGGCCCGTGCGTGCCGTGTATGTGTGCACACCCGAATCCGCCCCGCAACCGCTGTCTTCCCCGCCAGGTACAGCATTTGTGTCGTGGCGTACTTGTTTCAAGGCTGCCGCCGCGTGCTGCTCATCCAGGTGCTCGGCCACCCGCCAGGCTTGCCATAGGTGCCGGACTGTTAGGCGAGCAGCATACGCCGCACGTGCGGTGTCCTGATAGCGGTTCTGTGCCTCCGACACCAGACGAGCGCGTTTCACCCGATCCAGCTCCTCCTGCCGCATCAATAGAGGAAAAGGGCATCGGCTGGAATGATCAAATATGGCTGCGGAGGCGGAGGCGTGTGTCCTTGGAAAAGGCAGTGTGGGGAACCTATGTTGCTAATCGTGGCGTAAAGTTCGGGGATCATGAAACGCAAAAAATCGCGGAAACGCATTGCCGGGCCAAGATGCGTGGGTGTTAAACACGTCCTACACCCGCACCTGCCGCTGCCGCTCCTGCCGCTCCCTCTTTCGTTGCTCATCCACCCCAAGGCCCGCCCGGCCAGCTTTAATATCTAGAGGCAACGGATCCGAACGGCCAGCACTTGTGCTGCCTGGATGGAAACGAACAAGTTTTGTTGGATGGAAGCTGGATTAACTTAGCAGTAATAAGGATGGGTATAACCTAAGGAAGATTCGAAGATGAAACTAAAAAGCAGCGTTCACATTATCAACATGGCCTCGCGCTTACCAAGGCCTTTGCCAGCTTCAAACCCCATCTTTTGCAAAAGAGCATAGCCCTTGTTGCCAGAATCCAGCGGCTGTTGCAGGCCGGCCTCGCGAATCGCCTTCTCTTTGCGCGGTTTATGCTGACGGCTTGCCTTTGCCTCAAGCCGTCGATTTTGTTCCGCGGCTTCAGCAGTGTAGGAATTTAGGAGTGCTTCCAACTCATCATCGCTTTCAATGGTCATGGTTAATAGTCAGGTACCAATACGCTTGGGTGCGAAAGTATAACGCGTCTCACAGGGGAATGTTCTTCAATCGTTACCATTCATCGCATATATACCGACTGCTGGTAACCGCACATAATTCAACAGTGTGCCGAAACGGTCCACGGTAGGCTCGTGCTAACTGTCAGTCCGCCATGGAAATGCTGGCGAGCATGCCGGTCGGCCGGTCGACGGCTATCACGTTGGGATGCTGGAGGAACGACCGGGTAACAGGACTGGCAACCTTGCCAGTGGGCCTCCCTTTACTTGGCCTGTTGCATGGCAAGGGACCTTGGCACCCGTCGTGGAACTAAACGCTGCTTCGTGCAGGATGCTGTACATGCGTCTGTACCCATTCCATACTCTCTACATACAGGCACGTCGCGCTTTCATTTGCACCAGCATTTGCGCATGCCTTACAAAGGTGTGCATCAACGACTTAGGTCAGCGAGGTATTGTGCAAATCCGTATTCCTACTTAGCCAGTATTCTCCACGGGCGGCCCAGTTTTTGCCAACTACCTTACCTTTTCACCAGGATAAGATTAAACGAAATCACCTTCCGATACTATGACCTGTTATTTGTTCAAGCATCCTTCTGGCCCCTCGGCGCTGCTTGCTATCACCTAAGATTATGACGGACTATTGGAAAAATAACTTACGTCGCGCAATTTCATACTCGTGCTGGACTAAAGGGACTGGAAGGTAAGGCTCTGATGGTGCGCGCGTGAGTGCACGCAAGCGACTTTAACCTTTGGAACGTCGCCAACACAGCTTGACTGAGACCGGCGTAATGCTGGTGTACAGTAAGCTTCACACATTGCGTCCACCTATGCTTGAGATTTTAGCTATTATGGCGTCATCGTCTTGTGCGCCCTGCACGCACCAACGACGGAGGTACCTTGAAAGAGTTCCTACGTACCTAAACTAGCTAAGTTGTATGATTCAACTCGTTTCATGAGGACGACGACAAGCGTGCATAGAATGGTTACGCAGGCACTTGAAATCCACGATGTTGCTGCTGCTCTCGTCCTCCAAAGTGTCCTTTTATTCCCTACGCAGGTTACACCAAAGGGTCTAGGCCAATAATGGAGTTCACCGTTGATCCAGATATTTCTTCAAAAAGACGTTGTGATTCCGACGTATCGGTATTCGTTAGGATACTTAAGGATTTGCCTTACGGATCCGAACGGCCAATAGCATTTTTGTGAGCCGCTTTATCTGCGCGCTCAATAAACAAAATGCAAGAGTTCAATGGGATGAATAGGGACGAGCTTCAAGGCCTTCTCTGGGCCTCGCAATACGCGACAACAAAAATCTGCGTTGGTTGTAACGGGTTGCTGGCCAGGCATCTCGGTGCCTCTTCCAGCTGCCCGGAACGTATTTGGGTGCAGTGCCGATGCATAAAATGCCTGGAGCGACAACCTGTTGGTTTCGCTGACGGCGGAAACATTCTGTCCTTGGCCGAGTTCTCGCAACACGCTTGCTCCCAGCCACCAAGCCTTAAGCTTTTCACAATTGTTCATCCTGGCACTCCAAATAATCCGGTAAGGATGCGTTTCGGGGGAAGCTTCGCTGACGTTTTAGGTTAGCTAATAAGCTTGCAAGCGCAGACGCTCAATGTGACAATAGATTTACGAATAGACAGCAAGCAAAGTTACGTGAATTGCGCCCTCGACGCACGCTTCTGTTGCCGAATATGCTGACACCGCCACTACGTCCGACGTCGCTATCATCATTTCTGGGCCTGTCCGGTGGCACAGGCAATAGCAGATCAACTTACTCTTTCAATAGGATTGCCAGTCTCAAGGGAGCAACTTTGGCTTATCCAAGCCCCACAATCAGTGCAACAATGTGTTTGGGATGTTGTGGCTCTTGCTGCGGTGTCAGCCATGGAGCATGGGAGACGTTATATGGCTGCAAACATGAAAACCAACCCGGCACTGTTACCTGGTCCTTCCCTTACGGAAGAAGCAATTTGTCGAGTTATTGTTGATTTTTGGGGCCGCATTCAGGGTTTCGCAGCTTTAGGAATTCCACGAAAAGGTTGGGAATCCGTTGGCGCACATCACCCCTTTTTGAGGATTATATCTGGCAAATTGATTTGTTCGCGAGAGCGGTTACCGATGAGAGGTTAATTATCTGAGATGATAATCTTTTGGTATATTAGTCTCTACTGCAGTGCACGGCCAGCTGGCCCGATGGCTCTACTCTTCGGGAGTCTGGAGCCCACTGTAACAACCACACACACACGTCCGACGGCAGAGCTCTACACAGCGGTACCGGCAGCCGGGATATGCCAAAACTGGCGCTCAGACCGTTCCTCTCACCTACCTGAAGAAACTATTCCTTGGACGCTTCATTCGCCGTTTACAAAAGTGCAAACTGATGCTGACCGTACCGGCACCGAACGAATCAACTGACCTGTCACCGCAAGGAAGTGGTGCTGTAATGCGCTGAAAGTAAAATCTCAAATTGTTGTCAGTAAAATATTTATATATATTTATAACATATAAGCTTTTAAAGAACAACGGGGCAAACAGACGCCTCCTTCCGTCCACAATTGCGACCCACGCGCGCTTTTCCCTTGCACCCACCATCGACATAGGTGCCGTTGCTGGACTGGCTGAGAGCGGCGAATGAGCATATGGGTGGCGAAAAGCTGGTGCGGCGTCAGCTGTGCGTATTCTGGAGCGGTTTCGGAGAGGGCGGCAAAATTGAAACCCCCAATCGCTGGCGCTCCGCCACTATTCGACGGATCGACCAGGCCACCGGCGCCTGCGAGATGAAGCAAGTAGCAAAAGGCTGGCTGAAATTATAATATTTATATATTTATATATTGATATATTGATTTAAAATTAAAAAACTTTATAATGCTTACCTGATTAAACAAGTTGTTAAAAAGTTGTTTGAAAGAATTTGTAAGGAACGGACGATTACTAACTGCGTGTCGCGTACTCCGATCCTTTAGGGCCCTTCCTAATTGGTTTCTGTTTCCTTCTTTTGGCATTAATTTCCCAGGTATCATGACGACAGGCGCAAACGCAGTCAAGCGTTCCTGTACCTGCCGTTGTCCATCGTCCATTTCGCGCGCTGCCCTCCGGCGCCCGGCGCACCCCCAAGGAACGTCGCCGATGGCCAAACACCGCTGCCGCCGCTCCTGCCGCTGCTGCCCCAGCCGCCTCAGAGCGCCGTGACGCCACATCTGCTGCCACCTTTCCCTGCACTTCCATTTCCGACATTTCCAACTGCCGCGGTTGTTGCTGCTACGACACAAGTTTCCCCAATCCTACAGCCGACGACGACGCTGCCGCCGCGAGCTGCACCTTCGGCGGCCCTGTTCCCTGCAGCCACCGCCGCCTCCGCCGCCGCAGCTGCAGCAGCAGAAGCAGCAACAACTACAGCCACCACGCGACTGGTGCCAAAACCCGCCGCTCCAGGGGAGTGCCCTACGTCTTCCCAGACGTACTACTTGCCACACAATCAGGCCCTCGCCAGCGCAACGGCGTCAGCGTGCGCGCAACCGCCGCCTCCGCCGCCCGCCCTTGCTCCGTTCCCGTCTCCAACATCCTGGGGCCCACAGTCAATTCAACCGCAGCAATATTTTCAGCAGGTTAGATCCGGATCATCTGGATCTAACGTACGGCACTCATTCCCCGTCGTCGCTGCTCTCGCCGGCGGAATGTCGTCCCGCGGGGAACCTGAACCACCGGTCGAAACCCCCGCTAAGCGCCCGTGGCCTGCAGATATCGGTACGGCATCCGAGCTAGCAATAAATGCCACGACCCGCGGTATCGGTGCCGTGTTTTTTGACGCCGTACTTAATCCCCCCTCCAAGCTGTCTCGATCCGATGGAGCAGTAACAGGAGTTGGAAGCGGTGGCGGAGGCTGGGGACAGCGCGATCAGCTTGTACCGCAGCTGGCTGTCACTGCCGCCGCCGCTGATGTCGACGCCGCAAGTGGCAGCTGCGGCGGTGGCGGCAGCGGCAGTGCCTCCGCGTGCACGCTGGGGAATGCCAGCGCCGGCAGTGGCGGCAGCGCCGCCTTGACGTCGGCCTTATTGATGCACAGTCTGGAGTTCAGGAACAGCAGCGGCAGCGGTAGCGGCAGCGGCAGCGGTAGCGGCAGCGGTAGCGGCGGCCAGGGCCGCCGGCTGCCTTCATTTCCGTTGCCTGCGCCCTCGGACGGCCTGCGGCTGCTGCGGATGCTGGACACCGTCTCCTCAGAATTGACCTACATTCCACCCTCCTCTGCATCATCGTTATCATCGCCAATGTCGGCGGCGGTGAGAGCGCCAGCAGCGCCACCGTTGCATTTCCAGCTGCACCAGCAGACGCTCAGAGCGGCTAGTGGCAGCCAACCGGCAGTCACGTCGGCCGTTGCCGCCAGAAGCGCCAGACAGCTACTACCGCCGCCGTCACCGTCGCCGTCACCATCGGCAGCAGCGGCGGCGATGGCAGAAGCTGCACTCGCGGCCCAGCTTCCCGATTTAGGCGCCGCCGTCGCCATCAGACCCGGCGTCGCCGCCGCCACCGCCGCAGACTGCCCCACCGCCGCTACCTGCAGCGTCGGTGGCGGCAGTAGCAGCGGCGGCCGAGCCGGACCATGCGGCTTAGGCTTTGGCCGGGCTTCCGTCGCCAGCGTCGCCACCACCGCCACCACACCGACGCCGCCTGCAGGCGGCGGCTGGAGCTGCAGCCATAACAACATTCACAGCAGCAGCATTGGCGGCAGTGGCAGTAGCAGCGCCGATGAAGGCAGCCGGCTCTATTTTCCTTGGCCTAGCCGCGGAACCAGCCCTAACTTCACCCCCATGCATCCGCCGGTGGCGGCCCCAACCGAAGCTGTAGCACCTGCTATTGCTACTGGTACTAATGGTGCTACAGCTGCAAGTGCTGTCACGGCATTGGGGGAACCATCCGATGTGGCAGCCGCGCTACTGCTGCCATCGCCCCCGGCGGTGCCATTGTCGGCGGTGGCGGCGGCGCAGCCACCACGGCCGGCAGACCCCGAGGAGCAGCTAAATGCCTTCCTGGCGGCGTCGTTTAGCTTTTTCGACGACGATTGTCCGCCCCGGTATCCGGATAGTGCGCTTCAGTGTATGCCTTATACGAACAGCGGTGGCGGCAGCTGGCCGACGGTGCCAGCGGTAGCGGCAGCGGTACCGCCGCCGAGGGCCGTCAACGCTGTGCAACGTTTCGGCGTAGCCACCTCCGCCACTGCCGCTGCCGCCGCTGCCGTACCGACCTCGGGAACTCTTACCTGCAGCAGGGGCAACAGCTACTTTGACGGCGGCAGCGGTGGTGGTAAGGGCGGTATAGGTGGCGGCGTCGGCAGCAGTGTTGGTGGCAATAGCAACAGCCGCTGCTACAGCTTGGACAGCTCCAACAGCAGCAATAGCTCTTTGACTGGCACCACGCCGCGCTTTGGCGGTAGCTCGGGATTGGGCAAGGAAGGGGAGATGAGACTGCGACATTTCGTTTAGGGTAAGTCGGGGAGAAGTCTCATCCAGCTTCTGCTTCTGCCGTCGTACAGTGTCGTACTGTGGTTGCTCTAGGATTGCCATGGAGGGAGGGTCCCTAGCGTTCGGGGGATGCTCTTGATCCCATTGACCAACCCACCAACCCACCAACCGACAAACCGACAAACCGTCAGAACTGGTGGTGGTAATTGCTGTCGTGCCCCGTTCTGCGCCAGCTCTTCCACCCATCCAACCCCCCGGGCGCTTACGCTGTGTGCCGTTGCATGCTTGTACGTTTTGTGTCCCCAGAGCTGGAACGCATGCAGTGAGTTCGTGGCGGCTGCGGCGGCTGCGGCGCAGGTTCGGGTGATCTTGGTAGCGGTGGCGGCGCTGCCGCCGCCGCCGTCACCACCGCCCCGATCCTTGTTGATAGAGCAACAACAGTATGTGCAACAGCAACTGTAAAACTGCAACTGCAACAGCAACATGTTCCTGCCGTTAAACCTTGGCGCCGCCGCCATCACCGCCGACGATGCTGGTTTGGCCATGAACTACGGCAGTTGACGTCACGAAAGCCTGCCGTACGACTTCCCTGCCGGGTCTTACCGGTTCCCCGGGTGGTGGTGATGCCACGGCGGGACACCCGTGGCCGAGGGAGGGAGGGAGGGAGGGCGGCAGTAGCATGGGAATGTGCGCCGCAGCCCGGCAGTACCTGGGGGACTCCACGGAAAGGGGCCTGCGCTAAGTGCTTATACGCCGCCACCGCCACCGCCGCCACGTGCTGTACGGAGGTCTGGTCGGCGGCGGCGGGTGTACGACTGCCCCATTTGAGCAACCATGCAGGTTGATCAGCTACAAACGCGTTGAGAGAAATATACATTAACAGCTATAACCGCTACAGCTGCGGTACTGCAGCGTGTTTCGCCGGATGGATTGAGTTCTCATAGCTGTAGCTGAGATTTGGGGGATGGGGGTGTCTGGGTTTTGGGGTTTGGGTTTTTATGTACTGGGCGGTTGCCGACCAAGTGGTCCGTTGGACAATATCCGCAGAAGAGACACGCACAGGGCTGGTACGGGATTCATCACGGGTTAGTTGATCCTGTCCTTTCAACCTCTTCCGTTGGCGGTTGTTACAATCGTACACTACGGTACCAACCGCCTGGGTTTGCAGAGAAGGATCCCAAGGCATTTGAATTTATTGTTTTGTCCGTGCGGAATTGCGTTCTGGCGGAACGAAATTGAATTTTTATTTGTGGTATTGTTCAGTGTCATTCATTGTATGGCTTTATACGGCTATTAAAGGACGTGGAGGAAAGCGGCGGGGAATGCGGCGGAAACCGCTCTTAGGGCTAATTAGGGGGTTTGGTCATTTTGTTGGAAGGAGCGTTGGGGATTACTGGCCGCGTGAATTCCATGGCTTGTTGGGGAAGGAGGGGGGAAGGGTGGGAAGTAAGGAGCTCACACACAAGCAACCTGCGGGTGCGACAAGAAACGTTTTGAATATTCTTGGGGAGCTTGGGAGGCTGAAGGACGAAAAGCGGTACGCATTGAGGTATGCAGGTGTCGTGCTTGCCACTAGCTAAGCCCAGGGATATAGCCTACAGACTACGGACGGACTAACTGGACTGCATCGCATTGCATCGCCAGGATGTCACCAACACGCACGTTATGGGCAAAACAAATCTCGTATGCATCGCTCAACTGAGAGTACATGGTTTTGCATTTGCAGCATGGACGCGTGACCTTAGATATGGCTGAAAATGGCTTCGTTATCTGGTCTTATATAGGTTAGATTGTTTAATAGGAGCAACGGCCAGTTTTCTGACCGAACATCAACAAGCTTTTTTATTTCGGGAAGGAAGTCGAGGGTGGAAGATTTAACAGCCATTTGATCAGGGAAAGGTGGATGCAAATGAACTATGTAGTGTTTTATAATCGCATAATTAACTGGAACGTTTAGGCCAAGACCTCCAAGGCGCGCGAGGGCTGGGCTTGGCAGGGCTGCTGAAATTCGGCGCTGCTAAACCAGCCAGAGTCCGTTTCCTACTCTACTCAATGCTGCATTTGCATTCTTCGTAGTAAGTGGATTTCATGGCTGCCTGTGCAAGGGGTGGCTATGCGCCTTGGAGCCGTTGATTGCGGTTAGGATTCTGTTCGGAGTCTTCTGACCTTTTGGATTTGTGTAGGGAGTGAAAGGACTTTGTACTTGGTGGTAAATTATCTCCCTTTCATCCCTTACAATTATGATTATTACGACCACACCCCATTGACGAAAGCAGAGGTCGGCAAAACGGTTTTTACGGCTGCGGGAGGGCATAGTTTCGGTCCGTAAACCTGACAAGTCGGGTGTCGGCTTCCTCGAAGCCGGAAAAAGGGCGGGCCCCCCCTGCATCCGTACAGGCCGGTAGCTAGCGCGGCACGTGTGACAATTGATGGGTAGTGTCAATGCGGTGGGAGATGTGCTTTGTTGCAGCATTGCTGATGGTGTGAGAGCTAAGCTTGCACCGGCGGAATCGTCAGCACCGCCTGCGGGCTCCACGCGAATCGCATCCATCCCGGGTGCATGCCGCATGAACAGTGCGGCAGACCGCATGTCGGAATGCCCGTGCGGGCAAATGGTAACGAAAGCTGGGTGAATTTCGGTGCTGTCTGTGATGTTTATCCCCGAAGCGCCAGCGGCCTCAGCAATCCGCCCCACAGCCGCGGGCTTCATCGGGGCACACCGCAAGTCTCCGGAGGCCCCTAGCATTGGCTAAAGTAAATGTACATATGAGCAGCTTGCGTATTTCATAGTAATGTAAGCAAATTTGTCGGCCTGCTGGTGGCAAGTCGGAATGCCCGTGCGGGCAAATGGTAACACAAGCTGGGTGTTCAAGTTATCATACGCTATCATCCCGGAAATCAAATATGAGATACGCGGTACCTTTTGAGATTAAATTTAGCCCGAGAGGCGTTGATGTGACTTTGGCCTCGGTCAATTGAGGCAGCCAAAGATGTTTGTGCTCATACGATTTTTGTTGGCTACAGGCGAGATACCTTGCGATAGAGAATTATATATAGTACCTATAACGCGTTTCAGCCGGGAGAGGTATTATGTTTGGTCCGTTACACACGCACACACACACGGACAATCCTACAGGTCGGGGCCCCCCTGGGCGCTTCGCAACCTGAAAATTTTTCAAAAATCAAACACAGAGTTCAAGTCCAGCACGCGGTCCTACGGGCCGCAATAGAGGGGCTGCAAGCCACGTTTTTTGGTCCAATTTTGGTCATTAGGGACCCGCAGCCGGGGCCTTAAGCCGAATTTCGGCCGCGGGTACTGTGGTATAGACCCGCAGTACCCGCCTTATTTGCCGACCTCTGGACGAAAGCAACTTGTGCCCTCTTTGGCATGGCACAAACCAGCTTTCCACGCCTGGCCCTGACCTCCCTCTCCCCCGATTAAATTATATTACATGACATTCGGCCATTAGCCCTCCGTCTCTCCCTTTCCTTCCAAACCCACCAACGATCTCAATCCGTGTGTTGTAAATTATGCCGTACCATAGCAAAAGAAGGCAAACGAAGCCTCCTTCCGGAGGGCGGGAAACACAAAGTGACGTCTGAATGGCCACCGGGAGTTCCCCGGGTATAGGACGAAAATGGCAGACAACACGCGCACGCCTGACGCACATGTAAACGTGCGGCTGCCGCTGCACATCCTTCCATGCTTGTCTGCTCCATGTGGTTCATTTTGTTACTGAAAAGACAAATTACTCAAGCACACAAAGCGCATCACCTTCAATGATCCGCACCATCCCCAACAACCACCACCATCAGAGGGCCGGGCACAACAAACCTCATAGCCTTATTGGTAAAGTTGTTGTCGGTTGGTTGATTGTTGGTTGGAGCATTTGCGGTACAGATCCCCGAACACACACAACTTTCATGATGCGTTTGTGTCACGGGCTCGAACCGACAAATATATTGTCGCAGGTAGCAGAGAATCTGTACGATCCGTCAGGTTTGCCAGATCTTGTTCTGCCGTATCAACTACCACACTGTCGTACTAACTGTCGTCATCATGATACACAAATCAGAGACAAGACAAAGAGACAACCCCCAGTCGGTCGCCCGTTAGCGGAAAAAGGCTCCCGTATTTCGTATCCGCTTTTAAGGAGAAAGCGCGAGTGACGTACACACCCGCGTTCGAGCCAGTCCAATCTGCAACATGTATGTCGTCACAGACATACAGACATCCCAGCTGCGTCTTGTGGTGGAAACGGCCCCTTCCCCAAACCCCAAGCCCACAAATCCTACCATCCGTTCCGTCTGCCTCTGCTACTGCCTGTGCTGCTGCAGCTGCGCCCCCCTAAACCCCTACCTCCTCTAGCTCCAGAGAACACACATACATACACACGCACACACACAGACACACGTGTCGAACGGACGCCCGTCAGCGATGTAGCACACCACCCAGTAGCACGCCTCTACTCCCAACACGCGACTAGCGCGGACTGCAGCCTTTCGCGTGTTTCCGAAAGCGCCACACAGCATCAGACCCAACTACCCCATCTGGGTCGCTTGCGAGCATATCATCCATTGATCTCATCATTGCAGCGAGTGCGGAGTCCAGGGCGGCTGCGCAGGTCTCAAAAAACCTCTTGTCCCATTCCACTGCTACGCTGGCGCACCCTTCTTCCGTCCCCTTTCAAATCCCCTGCACAGTTTCAGGTTCCTTGCAGTCCGTCCAAAGAAGCGGACTCGAGTACTCCTTGCAAGAGATGAGCGCGTTCTCACTCTTTTGGCGTACTGCTGTGCAGAGGTCTACGACGCGCATCTACAACAGCAGATGCTGATACTCGGCGTTGATATCGTCTTCCACCTCACCTTTACCACACAAGATCGTGTCTCACATGACCTGATTCAGCTGTACTCCGAAGGAAGGTAAGCAGGCGAGCAATTGCATCCCAGTGGAGAGGCATAATTAATTATACAATGCGTTCATAATCCATGCGGCAGTCAGGCGCGGGGCAGATCGACGCTTCTGGTTATCCTACATGTCCATTTCTGCCGCGCCTGCCGGTGCCCCCGTTCTGAGTTTTGGCCCATTGTCGGGTGCGCCCATGCCAGCTGCTGCCTCAGCATCCCGCTGGTTGTGTGGCCGTGGGGTCGTGGTGAGCAGCTTGACCCGTCGCTTGTGCGGCCGTTCGCCTTCGTGACTGGCGAGCGCAGTTGCAGAGTTGAAGTATTTCCTGAGATCGGGAGACAAGGTGTAACCGGAGCGAACCGACATGAAAAAATTAGCGCAGGAGGGTTTCAATGTGGCGTAACAAATAAAGCTCAGGACGCCGCCGCTGGCAACAAAGAGAAAAACCGGAAGCGCGCCGATCGGGAAAGATATTTGCGGGGCAGCGTGGCAGCGCATTAAGCATGCTGCTTACGACTGCTGGTGAGCTCCATCGCAACTGCGGCGACAGCAGGTCCGTTGGCAGGCTTTACTCACCCGCAAGGTACGCAGTAGTGCTTCCCAAAACCTGGGACATCCTCGTCAAGCTCAGCCCTGAGGACGTAATATCACCAAAGAAAGCGCAGCCCGTAACAATGGCAGCCGAAGACAGACCTAAATGTAAGGCTGAGCCGCCGTTGCTGATAAATATGAGACAAAGTGAATAATTTGCACGAACGCACTTTGCCGTCGTCCCCATAGGACCGGTCTTGCCATCGTGCACAAGCGCAGGCGGCTTCCGAACGTCCTCCCAAACTTGGTCGATATGCCGCTCCTGAAACTGGCCACGCCTTTGCTGCTTATATGTTTTTCGATGTTTATGGTCGCCCCCAACTTTCCGCTTGCCGATTCCACCCATTCTTTCGCACCCGTGGGCGTGTGAGGGTAATTGATTTTGTGGGATGTAACCTGATTCAATCGAAAGACTTTTAAAGGTTTAAGTGAAAGCTCACAACTACGATGTATCTAGGAGCATAATGGCGCTTAGTCGAATTGGAATTGATGGTACGGCAGTATCGGCCTTACATAGTGTGCGGTAACGCATCCTTAGGCTTTGTGCCATTCGTACCATTGGACCGCTTGGATTGTTGTGGACTGTAGATATTACACGGCGCAATAAGTACTCCCGGATAATCTTCTAGCTGTTTGCAAGCGTGCCGCGGACCTACTGAGCTAAGCGCTGATATAGAAGTGGTTACTAATCGTCACTTTGTTTCCAACGGCACTGCGCAAAGGGTGCTGTGCCTTCCTTCTCTGCAAGCGCGCTCAATCAGTCAGCGCATCTGCGGGTGCAACTATTTCTGCCCAATCATTAATAATGACAGCGACCTGTACGCTAGCATCGCATGAGGATACGCTCATTCTGCCGCCCATTCCGTCCAATGATGACCTTTCGACCGATCCTGAGGTGGGACCTGCCTACACGTATGAACTGTACCTCCTTGACCGCGCTTTAAGCTTGTCCTTGCCATCGCAAGCATGTTCTGTCATCTGTTTCGTGCATCGCATGCTAAGCTTGAAATAAAACTTTTAGAGCAATCAAGTTGTTTACGCGTACAACGGCTTTCGTCTGACTGCCCATCCGCTGCCTCACATTACTTTCAGCTATACTTCTCATATTCTTGCGGTTTATGTTTTTCTCACCTCCCACCGATACCCTGCTGCTCGCCTCCCAAAGTCAACCATCCATCCACCCTAACCAACGCAACCAACCCTTCCGGTTGCGTGCCGTCTCCTCTGTTGCAACACTCACCTCATGACAGATCTGGGACGTTATCATTGTGGGTGGCGGTGTTGCCGGCTCGGCCCTCGCCTATGCCCAGGCCAAGGTGATTGAACTGACTGAGATCCGAACTGTCAGTTTGGCAGCTCAGCGGATCCAGATCCAGCTGGGACTTGTCTGAATTACGAAACGGAACTAAGCCTGATACTAAGCCTGAACTAAATCACCTAAACTGAGTTGAGCGGATCTCTTTTAGCGGAACGGAATGCAATTGACGTGGGTGAGGGCTGAGGCCCCTCCCCCGACCCCGGAAAAAAAGAGGAGCAAAAGCGGGGGGGGAGGGGGAAAGGGTTTGGGCCCTCCTTGAGCGGCACGGGGTGAGGGGGTTTTACCGTCCGTGCGCTGTCAGCGCACCTAGGTTTCCCGACTACCTGACATGCGTGGCAGATGGCTTCTGGCTTCTAACCAGCTGCTTCCCACGTGGTTCCTTTCCTAACACATACATACATACATATATCAAAAATGCATACACGCATCCCTTGCATCAACAACTTGGCATCGCCAACTCCCCGCCTCACGCCCATACATCACCTCCGGGCCGACAGATGGCAACTCTGTAATCCCCCTTCCCTCCCCCCTCTAACCCTCCCGCTCATTCTCCTCTATCCCTCTCCCTCCCCCCGGCGGGCCCCCCCCGCCTCTTGGTCAGTTCTACTCTTGGTACACTCTTGCCCTCGCAGCAGCTTCACTCGTTCGTGATTCGTCTCCCCCCCCTTCCCCCCCGCGCCTGCCAGGACGGTCGTCGGGTGCTGCTTCTTGAGCGGGATCTGTCCCAGCCGGACCGCATCGTGGGGGAGCTGCTGCAGCCCGGGGGCTACCTGATGCTCAAGAGGCTGGGCCTGGAGAGCTGCGTGGACGGAATCGATTCAGTCAAGGTGCGGGGTGGGGCCTTATGACGTCGGGGAGGGGAGACTGCAGCGTGGGGTTACGAGTGGGGATACGGACCCCGGACATGGGCCGGGGAATGCCGTATGTATGTGTGGGGGAGAGGAGAGAAGGGAGCGAGGAGGGGGTATAAGATGGGGTTAAAGTGGGAGGGAGGGAGGGAGGGAGGGGGCCCTGAGTGGCAGAGGAGAGGGAGGAGGGGAGAGGACATCCCTGCAGCCGGGGGACTGCATGTGGCGGACGGCAGGGAGGGAGGGGGGCAGCGCTCGGCGGATGGGGGGGGACAGAGCGTTGGTCTGTGGCGGGAGGGGAAGGTGGAGGGGGTTACGGAGGGGCCACGGGGTCCCGAGTAGGAGGAGGGCTAACGAGCATGGCTGTTGGTGTCATGACAACGATCACCACCACCACCACCACGGTACTGTATGGAATTGCAGGCCATTGACGTGCCGTACTGCCCCAAAATTGGCACGCGTCTGTAGGTGTACGGCTATGCGTTGTTTAAAAACGGTAACCATGCGGTTGTTCGTTATCCGATCGAGGGCTATTCGGCTGACGTGGCGGGGCGCAGCTTCCACCACGGTGTGTGTGTGGGAGGGGTGGGTGGGGGGGTCTTTACGTTTTGAGGTGGGGGGGTGTGGGGGGTTGCAAGGACGACGTGTATGTGTACGTGCTGATGGAGGTAGGGGTAAGGACGCCCGTGCTGGGTTTAGCCCTGTACGGCAAGGACTACCTGTCCTGGGTTACAAGGTACACCCTCTTAAACTCCCCCCCCCCGCACACACACGCACCACATGAACCTCAATCCTCGGTCGCCCCCTTGACATATCCCCCGGGGGACCTCAGGCCGCTTCATCCAGAAGCTTCGCGGTGCAGCGGCCAGCTGCCCCAGCGTTACTGTACGACAGGGTCTGGTCAAGAAGCTGGTCAACGGTACGGCTGGCAGGGCGAAGGCGTGGGCGGGCCCTTGCGCTCGTGTGGTTGGGCATATCAGTGTCTTGATTAGCCGGGGAGTGGGCTGTGAGGGGGCTGGGGTCGCATGTCGATCATATGTTCGCACATACATACATACATACATACATACATACATACATACATACATACATACATACATACATACATACATATCACACGGCACCTCTTCCCCGCATCTCTCTCTCCCTGCCTCCGACCACATCCACGTTCAACTTCCTGCCCCTGTCCCTGTCCCTGCTCCAGACAAGGGTGGTGAGTGGCAGGAGGGCGAGGTGGTGACGGGGGTGGTGTACCGCCACCTGCCGCAAGCCACCAGCAGCAGTAGCAGTAGCAGCAGCAGTCGCGACCCGGGCGCTACTGCCACTGCTGTTCCAGTTGACAGGTCAGCCAAGGCGCACCTCACCATCGTGTGCGATGGCATGTACTCCAACTTGCGCCGACATCTGTCGACACCCAAGGTGGGTGGAGGGAGCGGGGTGTGGGCGAGGGGAGGGGCGGGAGGGAGGGTGTGTTTGGGGGGAGAGGAGGGCATTGGGATGGGAAGGGAGGGTGTGCGGGGTGCTTCATGAGGAGGGTGGGTGGGAGGGGGTTCAGTGGGGCGGAGTGGGGTGGGGGTTACGGAGAGGGCGGCTTGCGGGATGAAGGGGAGAAAGGAGTCCTGAATGTAAAATATTTACCAACATCCCGCAAAACACTTTATTTGTTAAGTGTTTATTTATAGAGTGTTTGTTTTCAAACATCCACTCATGCAACCAACCCGCCTGCACGTGGCCTTCGGAGGTGGTGGAGGGGTAGAGGAGGACGGGGGCCCCCTTGGAACTTGGGGGGCTCCCCCCGTCTGACTCCCCACCCCCGACCCTGGACCCTCTCTTTGCTTGTTGCATGTAGCCACCCTACACCGCACTACCCTACTCATGATCGCAACCGCAGCCCCACTGCCCGAGCCCTCTCCGCCCCGTCCTCCCCTTCCTCCGCCCAGATCGCACACCCCAGCTTCTTTGTGGGTCTGTTGCTTAAAAAATGTCAACTGCCAGTACCTAACCACGGCCATGTCGTACTGGCTAAACCCTCACCCATCCTCTTCTACCCGATAAGCTCCACCGAGGTCAGGTAGGTGGTGTGTGTGTGTATGTGTATGTGTGTGTGCGTATGTGTGTGTATGTGTGTGTATGTGTGTGTGTATGTGTGTGTGCGTATGTGTGTGAGAGAGAGAGCGTTTGGGGGCAGGGTGGAGGGGTAAATTGGGGTTAGGTTTGTTGTGATTGGCGAATTAGCATAGAGGATTAGGACCCTCCGATCCCCCTGCCCCCGCTCACTCTCCTTGACCTGTTCCTGTCGCACTTCCTCTACCATCTCCCCCGTCACCCCCCCTCCCCTCCCCCCTCCCCTTCCAGGTGCCTGGTGGATGTCCCCGGCGAGAGGCTCCCCTCCGACCTGCCCGCCTACCTGAGAGCAACGGTGGCGCCGCAGCTGCCCGACCAGCTCAGACCCGCGTTCCTGGAGGCGCTGGAGAGGCCCGAGGCGATCAGGAGCATGCAGGTGGGGGGGGAGAGGGGAGGGGGGAGGGGGGGAAAGACGAACCACGAACGAGTGAAGCTGCTGCCAGGAGGAGGAGTGTACCAGACGTGTGTGGGGGGGGGTAGAGGGAAGAGGGCGTGTGTGTTTTGATGTGATCTGCGTCGCGATGCGAGTGCCATGCCAATGGTTGTTGCGATGCTGTGAGGTGGTGTTTGTGGGTGCTGGGGCGGCCATTAAGTAATACGGAGGGGTGCGGGTATGTGGCATGATAGTGACAGTCAGGGCCGATGTGTACTTGTATGTCTGTGTGTATTTGTGCATCTCCCCTATAATTCCCTCCCACCCACCCCACAACCTGTCATCCCGCCGACTTCTTCTGCTTTGGATGCACATCGGCAACTGACTGGCACATTCCTTCCTTGAAATTAGCCCTCCCTTCTTCCGCCCTCTCCCATTTCCCGAGGTCGCCGCCTTCAAGAACGGCTTTTGGTCGGTTCTACTTCTGGTACACTCTTGCCCTGGCAGCTGCCTCGCCCGCTCGTGGTTCGTCTTTCCCCCTTTTCCCAACCTCCCAACCAACCTCCCAACCTCCCAACCAAACCCCCACCCCCACCTCCCCAACTTCCCCCCAACCTGCGTTACCCCCCACCCACCCACCCCCACACACAGAACAAGCTGATGCCCGCCGCCCCCCTGCACCAACCCGGGGCCCTGTTGCTGGGAGACGCCTTCAACATGCGGCACCCGCTCACAGGCGGCGGCATGACGGTGGCCCTGTCCGACTGCTCCCTGCTGGTAGACATGCTGCGGCCGCTGCCCACCCTGGGTGACGCCCTGGCCACCGCGCAGCGCACCGCGGACTTCTACACGCGCCGCAAGCCCCTGTCCGCCACCATCAACACGCTGGCTAATGCGCTGTACAAGGTCTTTTGCTCCACAGGTATGGCTGCTGGTGGGACGGGGGGGGGGAAGGTGTTTGGGAGGGGGAGAGTAGGGGGGAAACTGCGGCCTAAGTCGGTGCACGTCATGGGTATCTATCTACACAGGCACGACGGAGTGGCAAGTGGCAGGTTTATTGCTTTGCATATTTACTGCTGCCACCCCATATCTGACTCTCTATCTGATGTTGATGAAACACCTCCCTGACCTTGTCTTCCCCCGTTTTTCCCCCCCCCCCTCTTCCCTCTTCCCCTCCGCACGACCCCCCACACACCCTTCCCCCCAAATATCCAACACCGCCGACACTTCGCACTTCGCTGTTCCAGGCGACCCCGCACAGGAGGAAATGCGACAGGCTTGCTTTGAGTACCTTGCCCAGGGGGGCATATGCGCCGCGGGCCCCATCTCCCTGCTCTCCGGCCTCAACCCCCGACCTTCCGTACTGGTGCAGCATTTCTTCATGGTGGCTCTGTTCGGCGTGGGTCGCCTGCTACTGCCGCGCCCCTCCCTCCGGGGGATCTACATGGCAGTAGCCTTGCTGGCGGTGGCCTGCCGCATCATCTTTCCGATCATCGCTGCGGAGGGCGTAAGGGCGGTGTTCCTGCCGGCATTGGCTCCGAAACCAGTCGTGTGTGTGGCGCCCAATGGCACGGTTAAGCGATCCACGAGCTTGGGAGTGCTGGCCGGGGTGACCTCGCCCTAGGGCGAATACGTGTCGTTGAAAGGCCCTCTGATGGACCTGATTGGCTGGTTAATTGGTTGGTTGGTTGGTTGATTGGTTGCTTGAGCTGTCCTGCTGCTGCTGTTGTTATTCTCTTGTCTTGGTTGCTATTGTGAAAATGCGTTGTTAGTGCTACTGCCAATTTTGTGTTGGTGCTAGAAGTGCTAGTGCCCGGGGAGGTTTGGGGGATAATAGCATGTAAAGGGGGGGGAGGAAGGAGGGGGGTTTCTGAAGGTACTGAGATGGCGCCGCGGCCTTATCGCTCCATGCTCGCGTCGGGCTGCTGCTTGTTCCCTTGTATGTATGTATGTATCGGGGTGTATATCGGGGTGCGTTCATATGTATGTCTGGGGGGCAAGGCACTCTCTCTTGCATCTTTTTCTTTGTGTAGCTCTCAGGAAAGAGAAGGGGCGGGAAATTGCACTGCTTCGAACCCTGTCGTCCACTTCTTTTGGCAGCGCAGTCAGTAGCACACATTCACTCACACAAGTACACACAGACACAAATCCCACATTGCCCAGCTGCCTGGGCTGGTGGGGTGGACCCCTTGCGCTCGCATACCCACAGCCCCCTGTGCTCTTGGCCAAACTGGCCAATAACAACCACCCGCATCTGTGCATGAGCCCCTCCTCGTAGATTTCCTTGAGTTTGATGAGGAGATGTTTGATGAGGAGATGTTTGATGAGGAGCTCGCTGAGTGGCCTGTTTAAGGCCGCCCGCCAGGCTGTTGTGAGTGGCGGTTGTGGCCTGTTTAAGGCCGCCCGCCAGGCTGTTGTGAGCAACGGCTGGCAGGTCCTAGAGTACTGCCTGCGCGTCCATCAGGATAGGCTTCCCAAGCCTTTAAAAGCCTCTGCTGTTTATCGGTAACAGTACCTCAGATTCACACGTTTACACCCAGGCAAGGGGCTATTGGTGGCAGGTCTCGGACCTCCCGAATACGTGTAACGGCCATTGACTCTTAGTCGTGTCTGCTAGGTCCTTCAGGGAGATAGCGTCTCGCCAACAGGAATAAGGTCTTTTATAGCGCCGGCAGCAGCAGCAGCAGCCGCAGCTGATTCGTCCCTGAACCGCGGCTACGATCTTACCTTCGACGTTACACCGTTCTCCCTGGCTGTAGCCAATAATATCTATCAACCCCAGAAAAGTCGAAGCTGCCACAACGATATCTACATATCCCCGCTTCCCATATCCTCCAATCCTCGCCTCCCGTTCCCACCGGGTGCCTGTCGTGCAGGTGTCTGTCGTACGGTAGCACATTGTTACCGTTTCGCCCCGACACAAACCCCCGTGTCCGTTAGGTGCCTCGTCTGGGGCCCGCCCCGCACGCAGCTGCTTTGCCACGATATCATGTGTAGCTCATGGACGGAAAGAGGAATTTGCCATTCTGGTTGCAAGTTTACAAGTTCCGCACGAGTGCGGGGGTGTCCGTCAAAGCCAAGGGGGAGCCCTGGACAATCTATGGACGAATCGCTCAAATCGCTCCAGGACCGATATCGACATTTTGCTACTATGTTATCTGGAATGAATGGAATATTAATGTTGTTCAGCCGCCGAAGCTTCTACGTGTGTGATCTGAGGATTACGTTTTGTGGAAGTAGGAAATCCGGAGGCGTTACCCCAAATGAGGAATGATACTATTGAACGTGTATGGCCGAGACTGGCTGAGAACGATCGCCTTTAATTAACCCATGCGTGGCGATGCGTGCGACGCAACGCAGGTTTGACTGTAACGCGTGGTGGCGAGCGCAGATGGGTCATCGATCGATACGCGCGTGGCTGGCTAGATAGCGTGTGCTGGTAACCGGCGGCAAAGCCAAGGGCCGGTTTTAGGAGAACCATCTCACGCACAACCCGCCCGTCGTCATGGAGAACAATAACGATATCTAGCTTGACGAACGTTCTGATCTTTGGCACGGTTACTGTTCGTCACTTAGACTAGGCAGGGCGGTACAAACTTTGCAAGACACAATGATAACCTGGGCAAATACCGATTTGATGGACTGCTTGCTTGCTGCGGCATGTATTTGAGGGTTGTGTGTGACGTGGTAGTAGATAGTTGCTACACAGGGCCATGGGGTTACCGGTTACCGTCCAATCGTAACAGTAACGACTAGATGCACATGCATCCGCCTTTATTGCTTAAAACGTACGAACACATACGAGAGACCTGAGGAAAGGTCTGCAATCGGGCAATGTATGTATCCTGTCTTCACGCCTGTTTGATGCCCGCAAGCATGCGCAAACGGCGCGCTGCCGTGCTAACCGCTAGGTCACCACATAGCCTTTAGGTGGGTTAATATGCCAAGCAGCTGAATACGTTTTGACGATTCTTAAGCGCGGTTTAAGCACATACCGCTTCTTCGCGGGCCAGCCCCAATGGCAACCGCGGGCAGGCCGCTCACGTTAGGAGACCTGGAAAAAATGAAAGCTTCCATAATTGGTGAGGTGAAGTCCCTCACCAGCCTAGTTGCCGACCAGCTGATGGCAAATGCAGAAGAATTGCACAAAAGGGCTACACCCTTGGGAAGAAACTTACTCGCTTCAGCACAGACGTCATCTTACAGATCCTCTGTTTCAGATCGAGGTGCCCACCTTGGGACAGATATGATGGACAGGCCCGCCATGACCTTCCCATCGGCGTCGGCCGCAGCGTCCCAGAGACGGCACACAGTAGTCCCCTTTCCGACACAACATTATGCCCCGTTACTGACCTGTGACGACCTGGAGTCTCTCCTGGCACAACGCCTCGAGCAGGATCCTCTGCTGCCGATGCGCTGGGAGCAAGAGCTCCAGCGGCGTCTCCGGGCGCAAAGCCCCAGTCCCGATTCCAGCCCAGTGCGCAGCGGCGGCGGATCCTCCTCCTCCGCCACGCCTCTCTCAACCTGCCCTACCTCCCCACTCCTTGGACCCCGCCGGCCGCCCTCTGGGCGGAGCCGCCTCAGCAGTGCCGGCGCCGGCACTGCTCCGCCCTCGTACTATCCTGACGCTGACTTCGCCGCTGCCGCCGCGGCTATTGGGAGCGCCGCCGCCGATGGCAGCTGGGGCCGGAGCTCCAATCCGGGCGGCGGTCCTACTCCTTGCGTCTGTTCGCCGCCACGAGACTTATGTAGAGCTGTCAGCGGCAATGATGACGGTGACGGGGGCGGCGTCGCCGCCGCTGCCGCCGCAGCCGCTGCCACTTTCACCACGGCAGCTCCTAGCTTTGCTCCAAAGCACATGGCACAGGCCTTAGACAACCTCTCTGACCGCCGCCGGACCGACTTCTACTATTCACGGAGCGCCGACAGCGCTAGCCGCCTTGATGCGGCCGCCGCCGCTGCGGGCGGTACGACAAGCAGCAGTGGAGAGGCATCGGACGAGCTGTACGGCGAGGATGAAAGCAGCCCCTCGTACTGCGACAGCTCCAGCAACTGGTCCTGGTTGGACCCGGCGGAGCTGAGGGGCCGCACTGACCCAGGGGTCGCTTTGAAGCACGAGAGTACGGAGACGCGCGGCGGCGCCGCTGCTGCGGCCGCCAGCAGCTACAGGACAACAACGCCAGCGGCGGCGGTGGCAGGAACAGCAGGTGTGACGGCGGCGGCGGCGGGAGCAGCAGCCGCTGCAGGCGCCGACGTGGTACCAACAATGCTGCCGTACAACTCATCCACCGCCGTCGCCGCTGCCACGGCCACGGCAGCGTCCAACCCAACCGAGGATAGCAAACCTACAGGAACCCAGCCGGCGCGAGATTATCAGTTACAAGGCATTGTACGTCAGTTGGCTGTAGCTCAGTCCAGCAGCGCCGCCGCCGCGGCGGCGGTGGGCAGTGCGCCACCGCACCCCCACCCCCCACCTCCATACAGCGTCACGCACATACAGGCATCCGACGGCCCGCGTCTGGCTGTGGAGGCGGCGACAGCGGCTCCGCGGGTGCATCCGACGGCCCTTGCTGCCGCCACTGCCGCGACCGCGAGATCCTCCATTGGCGGCGTCTTCTCTGTCAAGTCTATTTACAACCCGGTGTATCTGCCAGATCGACAGCCGCGGCAGAGGCAGGAGGGGGTGCAGCCGCCGCCGCCGCAGCAGCAAGTGCAGCAACCGCGGGAAAGGCCTCCGCAGCTAGGCCAGCTACAGCTACAGCTACAGCACAACTCACCTCCAGCAGCCGCCGTCACCGCCGCTGTGGCTGCCGCCGCGCCCGCCGACATCTCGTCCTCGTTCAGGTCATCCGCTGCCGCCGCCGCCGCCGCCGGTACTTCTCTCTCGTACATCAGCACGCGGGAGGTGGCATCCATTTCGAACAGCTTCCGCAGCAGTAGCAGCAGTAGCAGCACCACCAGTCGCAGCAGTAGCAGTTCGACCCGAGGGTCACTGATGCTGACCTCCCCCTCCCCCTCCCCCTCGACCTCCATCTCCCCCACCACCTCCTTCAGCGGCATGGACGGGAGGACTGCGGCCAACAGCCCGTGGTACGTAAGCACGTCGAGGGACAGTCGTTGAGATCTCTACGGAACGGTTAGCAGCAGCTGCGCTGTGGCAGTAGCTTTAGCAGTAGCTGTAGTAGCTGGTTGCCGGATTGGCGGGCCTTGCGGTGGACTGGGACGACGTTATGACTTTGTTGTTGGTGTTCGCGAGGAGGGGGGGAGGGAGGGAGGGAGGGAGGGAGGGAAGGACGCGGCGCGGGTGGGACTTGGCCGTGAGCTGGCCGACCGAAGGGAAAGGGCGAGGGAGGCAGAGGGCCGCAGGAGTCAATGGCGTCGGGCAGCCCCTTGCAGCGCGGCACAGCAGCAGCAGTAGCGGCAGGTGACGGTGACAGTAGCAGCAGCAGTAGCAGCAGCAGTAGCAGCAGCAGTAGTAGCAGCAGCAGTAGCAGGAGTGTGCAGAGTCCCGGACGGCCGGAACGGGGAGCTGAGGGCAGGTGGGGCTACCGAGTGACCTCGTACACCTATTCCGGACTTCATTCCTCGGTCTTGAAGGTTTTAGGGTTTTGCATTTTTTGATAGGTTTTAATAAACAACGCATAAAAAGAGTGAGATATGCCTGGCATTGGGAGTACAATGTGGGGCGGGAATGGGCTTGATCGTGTTGGGGGTTCGTGTTGAGGACAAGGCAGGGCGAAGGAAGGGCACCCGCCGGTGGCGCGGTGGTGGTGGGGTTGGGGGTTGACGGTGGGGTGGGGGTGTTGGGCGTTGTGCCACGGAGGTTTCTGTGCAGGTGGCACAGGGAGCATTCCTCTCTTCTGCTGTACGCGGACGTCGCAACGATTTGCTGCACCGTGATGCTGTGCGTGTGTGTGTGCGTGTGCGTGTGTGTAAATGCGCGCAAACGGGGTTTGTTGTTGTTGGAACTGAGCAGCGGGAAATACAGTCTTATGTGTGTGTATGTATGTGTGTGGCGCGAGAGAAGCCTTGTTGCAGCTTGTCCAGCTTCCTGCTCTGTCTATCGGTCGCACAGCAGCAATGGAAGCGCGCGCAGGTTGACTTTGTGGTGCGGGGGGGATTTCGTCACCACAGCAAAAGCTAACTAACTCTTCCTTTCCAGTCACTTTACCATACGACATACGTCATACGTCAACGGTGCAATGCTGGATGCGGAATATGTTTTTTGATGATATGGATGCATGCTTGCGTACATGAGAATACATACATACATACATACATACGTATACATACCTGCATACTGGTGCATATCGGTATATGTGTACGGTACCGTAGTGTTACATCCAGAATGTGCTCTGCTCTGTCAATTATTATTTTTTGCTGCCCTGGGCGGCTTTTATCATCATGGCGATCATGGCTGGTGTTCACTTGAGGATCTGTCAATGAGCTTTTGCGAATCTGCGCTTTTGAATTTCTCACTCTTTTTGCTTCTTCTCTTTTGCCCTCTCTCTCTCTCGCTCTCTCTTTCGCTCTGTCTTTTTTTCGTTCTCGCTCTCTCCGTTCTACAGTGCGCGAAGTATGAAGCAGCGTTTGCACTAATAGCAACAGCAGTAGCAGTATTCATCAATGGATGGTGATGCAGCGCGGAAAAGAGGTCGCGCAAACGTCTTGTGGAAGGTCAGGCCGTATTCCAGCCGATCCTATTGGGCGAGGTTGCCTGCTTAAGACATCTCATGCTAAGAGCCATTAAAATTGTGTGCACACGAAAACTCATCGTGCGTCATTGATTCCCACTGAACGGAGTACTGTTGGCCAGGACTCAGGGTGTACGGCAGGAAGTGGTGATTGGGATTACGTGTGATACGCATCCTCATGTATCGCACGACAATGTCGTACGTCCTATACTTCAATGCAAGCCATCTTGTACTTCAACAAAAAAAATTGTTCCGTGCGGGGCTGTGTATGTGTGTGTTGTATGTGGCGGGACGTGTGCTGTCAAATGACACACGACACTTCACGACCAAAGTGCCATGGACAGGCTTTGGGGATTTCGTTTCCCAGAGGATCCGTTGTGTTAGTTATGGAGAAGTGTTTGCGGTGATAAGGGGACCATTACCTTTTTGTAAACCATGAGATGGTTTTGTCTTTTCCGTATTATCCGAATCACGAAAGGAAAAGGGTTTTGAAACCATCAGCGCCTCAGACAGACAGATAACCTCACACGATTCGTGTAAACTTTTAGGTCGTTTCTTTGACTTCTGGTCTCGTTGCCCGGATGATAACTCTGCTGATTATGTCGATGGCACATACAGGCAAGCAAGTAAAGAGTCAGAAACATCTTTACACTTGCGCGCACGTTCCTTATCACACATCTATAAAGATATCTTCTCTCTTTCGGGGGAAATTCAAAATTGCATCTTCGTCAAAATCTGATCTAAAAGCTCAGTCACCTCATTCTCTTTCTCCCACGCGTGTGTGAGTGTGCGCACGCGAACAGTCTAGCGACGCCCAAACAAACCCCCACCCTGTCACAGCGTTTATCCCCCCCTGGCACCAGCCTGCCGCCGTTTTCGCCAGCTGGCAAAGCCAAAGAGCTCTTCGTTCATCCGCATCCTAAATGCCAACTGAGAGAAACCTCTGTAATGTAACCCATATATTCCAATCGAGCTGAGATGCACGAGATGCACGGCCGAGAGGTGCCCTACACCCAGACGCCAGCTAAAGCGCCGCCTCCGCCACCCAAAACCTGCTTGGGTGCCGTACACGTCCTCGGACGGCGTCGACACGGACTACGGTCTCGATGCGGGAACGCCAGCCCCCACATGCCCTGGGGCGGCTGACGCCGTTCAGCCCTCATCCCTCAGCACCTCTAACCCTCAAAAGCATTTCACCCCTCTCTCTCTCACTCACTCACTTATTATACGACAGCTACTGCGACCGGAGTCTCTCACTCACACGTTCTGACATCTCCCAACCACTAACCGTCTAATGCCACCTCAAACCCTTCTTCGCCCTATTGTATAGTTCTGCCCTCCCTCTCTCGCACACTTCGCCTCCCAGGCTTGCTTCCCAAGCCGGAGCGTCTCGTCCTCCTCCTGTTCCACTTGGAGGGGCCTCCCCCTCCGCCTGTTCTTTGCAAGGGCCGAACCGATGATGAGACAGCAGCCAACAGCAACAGCAAAATACACAGCCCCGCCCAAACCCGGCCCGCCCCCACGGCCAACTGGCCATGATAGCGACAGACAGCACACCACACCACAAAGCACTTCCACCAACACCCCCCCTCCGAAACCATGACAAGCCCCCCTTTACCCCCCTCCACACACACACACACACACACACAGACCATGATCACATGCGCTGCCTTCGCCGAATCACTCTCTTCCGTTATCCTCCCTACGCTATATTGATGTTCCCGTTCCGGCCCCCAACCAAACCATCTCAATCCCCCCCACATACACACAAACACACCCACGATAGCTGAGATATGGGAGATGTGTGTGTCTGTGTGTCTCTCTGTGTGTGCGTGTGTGTTTTGGGGGCATGGGGCCCACACACAACCACCCTCCCGCAGCTCATCACTCTGAAGTAATCCGACCGGCCGTCTCCCCCCCCTTGGGGTCCCTTAGCCCGCCCTTCCACAAGACGGGCCAATACCCGTATCGGGGTTAGAGCCGCGGTATCAACGTTTTAAGAATCTTTCTACTACCGGATCATTTTTGTGATTATGGCGATCCGCCGCCCATATCAGGCGGCAGTCCAGCAGTCTCCCACCGCACATTCCGGTTGCATGTGTGTGTGTGTGTGTGTGTGTGTGTGTGGTCGGGGGGGGTGGGGAACATCAGCCCCAGCAAGGGGAGAGGCGAATGGTGAGAGAGCGGGAGGAGGGACCAGGCCAGCTTGGCAGGGGAGCTGCTACATGACTAGAACTACATCTCCCCCCCACTACAACAACAACAGCAGGGGAGAGCAGGGAACTGCCTCGGGAAGGAGGCCACTGGTGAAGCTTAACCACCCTGTAACAACATCAACAGCAGGGGCGCGAGGGAAGCCCATCCCTTCCGCAGGCGGAGAGGGGGAAACAGACTCCATATCAGGAACTCCTCCGACACTCCTTCCCCTGTTGCTGTTGCTCAGGATCTTACGTCCGCTGCCGTCGCCGCCGTTGACGTCGCTGCCGTTGCCGTACACGTGCGCACACACACATACACACTATCTAGAGAAGACATGCTCTAATGGTAACGGGTAGCGTCACCCGACCCAACCCAAGCACCAACCAACTGAAATCACACAACGACCCGCAACCACTCAAACTAACTGCCTGCCTTCCTGCGAACCACCTCTCCGCTGTTGTGCGACCCAGACGGCCACCACCTCCCACCCGCCATCGCCACCACCCCAAGAGCTCCCCCCGCCTCTGTTTCCATCTCCTCCTCCTCTTCCTCCTCCCACCACCATCACCAGCAAGCCCCTAACACCAAGAACAACTACAACAGCACGCCAAAGTGCCGCGCCGTGCCGGAGAGCAGCCGATACATCGTCAAGAGGGCTGTTGTGAAGGAGAGGACCTCCTCCTCCTCCTCACCACCACCACACAACGTTGGTCAACACTCGCCGTCGCAGGTCCTCTTCCACATAACCCAGGGGAGAGCGGGCCGTGGAGGAGGAGGAGGAGGTGGAGGAGGAAGGGGGGATCAACCAGTGACGGGCCGTTAGAGGTGTGGGTGTGAAAAAGGGGGGGGGTGTCACCGCTCCAAAGCCACACAGGCCGCCTCAGGAACGCACTCCCCGTTACCGTTACTACCGTTGCTACCGTTATTATTGTTGTTGTTGTTGTTTGAGCTTATGTGGCCCCGCACATCATTGAGGCGCTGCTGCAGCCGTGATGGCGGCGACGTCAGCGGCATCGGCGCTACCGCTGCCGCTGCTGCTAGTGATTTGGAGGAAGGGGACGACAGGTGCTGCCGTTGCGGCGGTCTCTGTCGTCCGTGTTGCGGCAGAGGAGGCACCGGCGGCGTCTGCGTGTGGGTGTCGGCGGCATCGACTGGCAGAGCTGGCACCGCCGCCGCTACCGCCGCCACTGCCGCCCCCAGCTCCGCCGCGGCGACGGGGCCGGTGACGGAATGGGCCCCCCCGGGAGCCGACCGTCGCGGAGCTCGTGGTCGCGGACTTAGCACCTTTGGCGCCGCCGCCGCTGACGCATCCCAATCACGTCCTCCGCCGCCATCGCCATCACCGTCCTGGTCGTCATGCTCGTACTGCTGTTGCTGCTGCTGCTGTTGCTGGTACGACGAGGCCTGATAGCCGTGGCTGTGTCCGTCGCTACGGCTCTGCCCCGGACTATGTCGCCTACCTCGGTGGCCGCCGGGATGCGGGTAGTGGTGGTGACGGTTGTGGTGGTGCTGTTGGGGATGGAAGTTGTGATGCTGGTGATGGTGGTTGTGGTGGTTGTGATGTTGCGGAAAGCCGACGCGGAGCGGCGAGTGCTGGTCCAGAGGCGTCGGCTGCTCGCACAGTTGCAACCGCTCCCGCTGCTGCTGCTGCTGCTGTTGTTGTTGTTGTTGTTGTTGCTGCCCCCATGGCCCGAAATGGTCACGGTCCCACCCACCCCCCTCTGCCATCTTCTTCTCGACGTCGTCGTCGTCCCCCTCATGTAGCTGCAGCGGCCGCTCCTGCGGCTGTAGCCGCAGTAGCTGATCCGGCGGATTTCCTCGCTGCCGCTGACCAGCTCCGAGACCCGCCGCCAAATCACAGGCCATTGAGGTACCCACATCGTCCTCCTCCTCCTCCTCCTCCTCCTCCACCGCACCGTCATTAGCCTCTTGATTCAGGCTCTTCTGCCGCCGTGGTGCGGCCGTTGCCGCCGCCTCCGCTGCCGCCGCCACGTCGCCGGCTGCGCGGGCTGCCGGGGACGTCGCTGTTGCCGTCAGCAACGCCGCCATCCCCTCGTCCTCCTCGTCTCTGCTGCTGAGGATGTCCGGCTCCTTCACGCGGATGCCCTTGCTCTCCGCAAAGTCAATGAGGGTCCACGGCACGTAGCCCAGTTGCTGACACGAGGATATAACCGAATTAACCACCCGGTGATGCAACATGGTTCGGTAGTGCGGGTGCTGGGGGTCCTGCACAGGCCACAAGAAGGGAAAGGCGCGCACCGGCGGAACAAGAACAAGAAGCGCAGGAGGAAAGGGAAAGGGAAGGGAAGGAAAGGGAAGACGCAAATAGGGAGTCAAGGGCGCAAATGTAAAAACATCTCATCGTGTCGATTGCGCTGTCGTGGATATGAAATGAAAAAAGCGGTGATGTGATGTGTGGTGTCAGCATGAACTCTTAAGCATGAGTTAACTCGTTGTTTGAATTCTCCAATCATGATGCGGCTATGATGCTTTTGTCGTGGTCTTAAAATTTCACGTTTTCCCTGGACATGTATGTCCAGGGAAACGTTGTAATTTCTCACGTAAAGCCCAAGTCGGTCGAGCTCACCGCTTGGTGGGTCGTAACAAGGCCAACCCGTCTAACTCTCCCGTTCTCAATTAATTCCGTTTCTTGAGCCCTAATAATATACGTGAATCCTAATACAAGGTGTAGCACACAGCAACAACAACAATATAATAAAATAATAATAAAATAACAACAATAATAATAATAATAATAATAATAATAATCCCACGCAGCCCACCTGTCACAGCTACACCTCTGTCCTACTCGCGTCGCAGCGAGGCACGAACATGCACCGCACCGCCCCTTGCGAGATGTCATCCCTCATTGGCCAGCTTCTACTCACTTCGCCACTCCCTTTTCATACATACCCCCCCCTCCCCGCAAACCCCCCCAACCCACCACATCCCACCACCCGCATCCCCGCCCCCCAGCCCCACACCTTGAGGATGGCGATGCACCTCCGGACAACCGAGTAGTAGATGTTGAGGTCCTTGCAGTCGAGAGCTGTGAGGCCCCACAGCAGCTGGGAGAGCTCCAAGGGCCTTGCGGGCAAAGGGGGGAAGTGAGGGAGAGGGAGACACGCGACGGGGGGGCCGGGGCGGGGCGGGGGGTTAGGCACGTAAGCAGATGGGCTTATAGTCCAATGATGCACACGTCAGAAAATGGTTTTAGTTGGTTACAAAAAATACATGGTTCAGGAAAAACCACCGATGGAAAGAAGGCGCAAGCGGGCAAGCGAAGATGATGTTGATGATGATGATGATGTTGATGAACAAAGAACAGTCACTCCCTCTCCTCCCGGCCCCCAGCTGCACAACGTTCTGACCCTCCTACCTGACCCGAACCCCGCAAACCGACAGGACAGCCTTCTGTATGTGTATCTATGTATGTATGTGTGTGTGTGCAAATATGTTTAAATCATAAAATTAAAAAAAACACCCCGAAATGCCCGTACAGGACAGGGCAGGGCAGCACGACACCGAATTACGTGACTCACTTAAAGCCGTTCATTTTGGTCTCCGCCGCCGCCATCAGCGCCACCAGCAGCGGCTCACTCCGCCACTGGAGCTGTGCTAGCGCCTTGACAATCATGGCCAGGCCTTGGGGGGCAAAGTACGGCATGCGGCTGTACAGCGTCGCGGCCATATGCTTGCTAAAGTCCGCGTTCGAGGGCCGGTGGCGGAAGGTGCCGTACGTCCATAGTACGACACAGACTTCCTGGTGCGTTAGCGTTTCGATGCGGCAGAGCACCACCCCCGCCACCGCGTCCAGGAGCATCTGGAAGGAGCGAAAAGCCCCCCGGGGGGGGGGTGAGGGGATTATATGCTGCTGATGATAGTGATTATGGTGATTATGATGGTGATCAAGATGGTCATGGTGATAAAGGTGGTGGTGGTGATAAAGGTGATGACGGTGATGGCGGTGATGCGACACGCCAAAAACATTTCTACCGACGCGGTAGTGGGGAGAGAAGGGGAGAAAAGAGAGGGGACAATACAACTATAAAAGGGAACAGCCCAACCCCCAACCCAACGCGTATACACATACACACCGTACCGTAAACCCCCTAGGGTTCATGGCCCCCCAATCGGGCCCCCAGAAAGCACCCCCCTCCCCCCGCCCTTCCTCATCCCCCCACCCACCCGATGGTAGTGGTGTGCGGTACCGAACCCCGAAACCAAGCTGCACAGCTCCGCATTGGAGCAGTTTCGGAGCTGAGGACCGACAGCAGCGGGAACCTCGTCCAAAAGCCGTACAGCCTTTCCTCCAAAAAAGGGAGACCAAAAAGGGGGGATAAAGAAGACAAAAGCAAGAGCGGGTTTTGAGGTTAACGCGAGGAAGGAGCGGAAGGACGTGAAAGGTATAATGATATTCGGGATTCATACTCGTGAATGTGAACCAAGAGCTCTTCTCTTCCCTGCGTTGCTGTGCTTCATGACTGAGCGTGGGTCTTAGCGTTTTATCGTAGATCATACAACGTACATCCCTTCTTCCCACCCCCACATGTACCGCGGGGGGGAGGGGTGTGTGTATGGAGGCAGTTTATCTTTGTGTGGGTTTTGTCTTTCTAGTTTTTTTATACACCGAAATCTAGTTTTATCAACCCCCACTACTCGCCCGTGGACATGTGTACCTGCAATACCTCCCCCCTCCCTCTCCCCCCTTTCCCGACTGCGGTGTGTGTGTGTGGCGGAAAGGGAGGGCCCTTTGCTTCTTGCATCATGCCGTACAGACACTGCCGTACCTTGTACCGCAGATGCGCAAACGTCCAGACCGAGAGGCTGAGGTCGGGGGGAGCCATGTGGGGCAGTCGCTGTAGCAACGTGGTCTCCACGTCGTACAGGAACCGTACCCCTGGTTTATGACCCAGCCGTACAAGCGCCCACAACACCAGAACCAGCTCCTGTGTTGTTGTTGTTAGGTCAAATAGTCACGGGTGTTGAGCGGGTTTTGTTGTTGATAGTGGTGATAATGGGGATATTAATGTTGATGGTGGTGGTGGTGGCAAGCCAAGGGGGAAAGGCAAACGACACACAGCGGGGCTGTTGGTTGATGTGTTTGCCACGTCAGGTGTCGTACACCCGGTTATGGATGTGGGAGCTCGCGGGTGAGGGGGAGGGGAGAACGCAACCCCCGTTGGATTTATATGCAATACTGCCGTACCAACCCAGGGAACCCTTCACCCAGTGTACGAGTGTACGAGAGCGGCGGAGGGCGGGCGGACAGGAATTTGATGATGACGATGATAATGCAAAAGCCAAATACGACACCTCCTCCCTTGAAATCCAAATGCCACACCGCCAAATGCCGCAGTTCGGGCGGAGTGCAGAGAGGCCACAGTGACAGCTCCCCACTCACAACAGCAACAACAACAGCAGCAACCCACCCCCCCTCCATCGTTTCCCCCCGGGCCCTAGCTCCTGTCCTTTCACCCCCCCACCGCACCGCCCCGTACCTGCGTGCCGTACTGTCGTACATTCCGATGCACCGTAGCCACCACCTCATGCAGCAGGGTCGCCCCCGGGTGGCAACCCAGCTTGGCAAACCCCCACAGCACCTGACACACCTCCCCGGGCTGGAAATCGTCCATGCTGTCCAACATCACCTGTGAGGGCGTGTGTGTGTGTGTGGTGGTGGTGGTGGTCGTAGTGGTGATCATCGTGGTGTGTGTGGGAGGGGGGGGGAAGTCATATGAAAGGGAAGGGGGAGAGACGGGATTAACAGTGGTACGAAGCAAAGAAAGTCACTCAGAGGAACAAAGGCCGAATTCCAAAACAGAGATTGACAGCGGAGGAACACGGCGCAGGTTTTGGAGTAAGCTCAGGTCGGGGGAGGGGGGGGAGAGAGGGGCACAATGTGGTTGGGAGGAAAGAGGTGAGAACTCGTGAACACGCCCAGGGGGTAACGTAGGGGGGGAGGGGGTGCTGGAGGAGCGATCACCTGGGCCCCCTCCCCCCCCCCCCTTCATTCGTTTGTGGTTCGTCTTTCCCCTCGACCCCCTCACACTCACACTCACACACACACACACACACACACACACACAGTGGTGGCCAGGGTGATGCGCATCCGGTGACACAACTCTGAAGATGGCCAACAACACAACACAACACGGCCCGACCCGACCCAAGACGTGCTAAGCTCCTGTTATCGCTTGCCCTCTCCGTGTGTATGTACGTCTGTACGCCTCCGCCGGCTCATTTGGAGTCTGTCTGTCTATATGTCTGTGCCTATGAAATCTGTCCACCATCTGGCCCGGCAGGAGCCCCCATGCGCCCTTCATGCGCTCCCAGGCCCCCCCAACACTCTTGCCCTGGGGCAGCAGCTTCACTCGTTTGTGGTTCGTCTTTCACCCACACATACACACCCGCCACCAGCACCACCTACTCCGCCGCGCCAGCTGCAGGGTCTCACTGCCTCCCCCACCTCACTGCCCCCCACCTCACTTCCCCCCCCCTCGCCTCCCCTCCCCTCCCCCCCATCCTCGCCTCCCCTCCCCTTCTCCCCCCACCCCCCCTCCACTCCCCTCCCCCCCCACCCCCCCT